CGTATTACCCTTTGTATTGCTAATGATGGAGGATATGTGAAAACTTAAATAAAATTTCAATAAAAACTTAAAAATATATAGATTTACTTCTTTCTCATCTTTTTTACAAATTATTTCTATCGCAAATACAAATAAAGTTATAAATTTTTTAAGTGCACACGAACTTTATGGACACCTTGTATCAAAACAATTATTCATTCCTTAAAAGGAAAAGAAAGAAAAAAGCAAATTAAAGTAAAAAAAAAAAGGAAAGAAAATAAGAAATCAATAAAATGAAAAGGAAGAAGAAAGAAAAGAAAGGCATAAGAAAGCATAAGAAATCAACGCTACTACCAAGAGAAGGTGAAGAAAAGAAAGGAGAAGAGTATATATCCAAATTTTACAGATACAAAGGAAAAGGAAAGAGAAGAAAATAAGATATGAGAAGTTGTTGATACTCGATTTAGCCACTGAAGAAATGTTGAGATAGTGAATTTAAAATTGAACGAAAATATAACACGACAAGGTAGAAACATATTACAGATACAATGTAGCATTTCAAACTTTATGGCATTTTGACTGAAATCACATATTCAAACAATATTAAACATAGAATGTAAATAAAAGACACTTTAAGAAAAAAACATTTACAAACAAAACAACTACTTAAGTATACCAACCTTACATTATAAATTAGAATACATATTAAATTTAAACATTTATATGACTTTTATATATTTATTTTAAATTAAAAACTATTATCAAACAACATCACAAGTAAAATAATTATAAGTCAATTCACGGCTAACGTTACTACCAGTAATTTACGCATACTAACCTATTTAATACCTTAATCTAGAATAAACCACTAATGATAGCATTAAAATGTTTATATAAAGGTAACATAACATAAGAAGAGTGTTTACTGATTTATAAAGTTTAGCAGGATTGTAAGGTTAATTCCGTAATATACCCTCAATTCACTGTAGTTTCATATCCCTGATTTAATAATTAATCGCTATTCAAGAGTTTAATTATCTCCATTTTCTCCTGTGGACAAAGGAAACACGGTTCCGTCTCGGATCTACAGATTCTGGCTTGTTTGAAAATGTTCCATTTAACTTTAGGTGCTTTGTTTTCCTCTTTCAATTTCCAAAAATGTTTAGAAAGTGAAGTCATATTTCGTTTGTCAGCATTAGTAAAGGATGAGAGATGATTATACAAACATTTTTTTTAGTATTCATTGTGCTCCCAATATATATTTTAACAATCCTTGCATTTTCACTTTATAAAATAGAACACATTGGCTATATATTATATATTTATAATAAAATACAATTTTTACAAAAAAAGCTTGCGCAAACATTTCCTTTTGTGGTCCTTTTTAGTAAAAGTAGATAACAGATTAACATTTTATAAAGGCTCTTACAAAGATTTACTATACAATCTTCAGATAATTTTTTAAATCGGTATCATCCCTTGCAAATCAGTAAAGCCACTAAAACACAAGGGGTTAGAGGGTGTGGAAGAATTAAGAACAGAAATATTAATAATGGGCGGGAAGAGAAAAGAGTAATACGGAGGACAGTAGACAGAAATTAACATTGCATTTAAATTTTTGCAGATTAAAGCTGACTGGAAAGTCTGTAGCCGGAAGTGATAAATACGAAAAAAGAAGCTGTCAGTATATAACTTACGGTTAAATCTAGCTAGATTAACTGTAAATTGATGAGATCTCGACGCCAATTTAGTACTGCACTTAAATTCATAAAGTCTAGTCTGGTACCCCAGCGAAAAGCTTATTCGAACAGTTACCATGAAAGTATTTATTGACAATACACAGAGAGACAACTTTATGACGGTGACTGAAGCAGAGCTGCCAGATCAGGACCCATAATATTGCTGGTTCTTTGGAATTTATCAAGGAGTTCAAGGTAAATAGCAGGGCACCGGACCATATGTGGCGGCAATATTCTAAGCATGGTAGACTTACAGATATGTAAGATCGATTCAGCGGGGAAAATTGTCTCACACGACACAGTAGAGAAAATCCTTGAGAAGGTAATACAAAATCTTTAAATAAGCTTGAAAATACTCTTTTAAAAAAGGTGCACCCACGTAATCGAAAGACGAAACAATCAGAATTGCGCTTTGGCAAACCCGTTTACATCACTGGTAGTTTTAACAATTTGTTTCTTCTTTAGAACCCAGTTCTATACACAGGTTTCCCTTAATTCACTTCTTTTTTTTTTTTCTATTTGCTTTGTCTATGGGGAATTGGTCAGCTCATCCAGCTAAAAATAGCTTTTCCTTCTGGAACCTTATTTTTCTGTCTTCAAGATGAAGTTATCATGTCTCCTCGTCTTCTGGCTTCAAAATTTTCGTTACCTTCCGGTCGAAAATGATCACATTTTTCTCTTCTTTTATTGTTCTCGCTCCTTAATAATGTTTCTCTTTTTTCTAATTCTTTCGCACTCACTAACGCCTTGGATCTTAGTGGCTTTACTGCTTTGCTTTGTGGGGAATGATTAAAACACACACACACAAAAAAAAAATCAAAACACAATCTTCAATACTGATCAGTTCACGCACACCTTCTGCTCTCTTTAAATACAACTTTCATGTTTTTCCTGTCCATATATTTCAATTCTTTCTCATGATTTCAGCGCTGTATCTTATAATCGGCACAACTCGAGAATTGTTAACAGTTATTATCACTTTTCACCATTCAGGTGAGATTTTAAAATGTTCTTTATTCGCCTTATATATTCTGATCCTATCATCGCCCTCATTTCAATGTCTTCAATGTCATTTTTTCCAACCAATAAAATCCCACCAGAAGGTTTTTTTCATAAACAATAATTACTATGGAAAATACCGCCAAAATGCTTGGCAGACGTAGTTATAGACCTACCATATATTATTTTTGGACAATTTAAAAAAATAAAAATAACTCCCTTCACTACTCCCGCAAATTCATTCTAACCAATAAGAACCTTGCATTCATAAAAGATCGCACCTCTATGTGAAATTAGATTTTAGATCCCTTTTACGGATATAAAAATAGAAGGATACTGCTTCTCAGGGATCAAAACAATTTCGAAGGCAAGTTTGATCTGTACATGCGTACACACACACACACACACCAGCGCACAACAGAAGAGAAGAGCCAGCAGTCGCCGACTATGGCTTTTTCTACGCTCATACAGACACAGACTGACTAGCATAAAGTAAGTCTGGCCACACATCTCACATCGCACTACGAACTCTTAATTCCTTTATTAAACAAACTTCATTGCAAGGAAAATTGAATATTTTGTTGTTATTGTATATTTCTGAGAATAATAAATGTTATTTCAAATGACGTTCTGTTTGTACTTTTCCTTCATAGAATAACCTTTGTTATGTTTCATTCAAAAGAGGTTTTTGTTGTTGTTGTTAAATGTTTGGAATCTCGACACTCAGAAAAACCTGGCCAGCCCGAATTCTGGCACTCTCACCTGATGGACTCATGATACCTTCACCGTGAAAAATCTCCCCTTTATTCACAACTAAAAGCCCGATACCAAACTCCATTTTTAAGCCCTCGTTAAAATACGTACTCTGTTTAATAGGGATGTGTACTTTATTCAATAAGTTATCCAGTTGTGTTTTTTTAGATTTTCCTAATAATTTCACATTATACATGCCCCACGTCAAACTGATTGTGTCCCACTTCTCACAGTTACTGTCTCATTAGTGTATCTGCTTTTGTTTTGTTTTAACTTTTGTTATTCAACTCTGAGAGAATTAGAAGTCCTACTAGCAATCATTATTGGCGGCCACAATCTTAACAACCTAAGATATGCAGATGACACAGTATTGATAGTAAACACAGAAACGAAACTACAAAAGCCCCTAAAGTAGCGAAGGAAAGAGAGAAGAAAGGACTAAATATAAACCACAAGAAGACAGAATGCATGGTTGTCAAAAAAAGGAGGAGTCCAAAGATTCATATTACAAATCAGTGATACTAAAATCAAATAAGAATAAAAATTTAAATATCTGGGAAATGTTCTAACACAGGACGAAAAGTGCGGTACTGAGATCTGAAGACACATTTCTATGGCCAAAGTTGCATTCTAAAAGCTAAGCAGAGACAGAAAAACGTCGTTAAAAATGAAGAGTACTGAACTGCTACGTGATATCTGTTCTCCTATATGGCAGGGAATGCTGGACAATCTTCTCAAAGATGACGAAAAAACTTGAAACAACAGAAGTGTGGTTCTACAGAAGGATTCTGAGAATACTATGAACCGAACATGTGAGCAACGATAAAAATTTTATAGAAAATTTAAGCAAAAAGGAAACTTATACTTAATATCAGGAAGAGGCAGTCGAAATTTCTGGGGCACGTAATGAGGAAGGAGGGCTTGGAAAATCTGATACTCACAGGACAGATTGAGAGAAAGACGGAGAGGGAAAGAGCCCGTATATTTTGAGCTTGAGTAAATGGCTAATAGAACAGGGTTTGGGAAAAATAAGAAAAAGACAAAACTTATTAAGAGCTAAAAGGGACACGAAGATGTGGAGGGCTATGATCGCCTACGTTCTGAAGGGACACGGCACATAAAAGAAGAAGAAGTAACAAAGCATTCGGCTTCTTGTTAAGCTTGTTTTGACTGAAATTTAATTGCTTTTACCCTCGAATGCTTTCAGGGTGAAAGCTATTTGGAAAATGTAATGATTTTTTTGTTTTTCATTTTGAACGATGTGACTTACTTTTCAAAACGAAAGGAATAAGGATAGACGCATTATGACTGAAAAACAAAATCAATTCCTTTTATTTTCAGATCAAGGAGGAAAATTAAATTATCGGTTATTGGTAGGTGGAATGTTTTTACTATTACAAGTCATGGCAATGAAAGCGTAGCGATATTTAGAACCAGTTTCCCAAAATATATTTAGCTTCAAGCAGAATAATTTATGGGGTAAGGATTCGACGAACGAGAATACCAATAAACCGGGAAAGACTGATTGATATGTTTTTTTTTTTTAGTTTTACTTTTTCAAGAAAGAAAGAAAGAAAGAGTTCTACTTTTCTACCCGCTAGTAAAAAGTCCAAAATAACTTGTGTTGAAGGGCAAAAGTTTAACATCTCCTCCACAACACACACAAATTTTCTCTTTTTCCTATCTTTTTTCTTTACTCTTTCTCTTTTTGCTCTTCCTTTTTTTCTTTCTTTCCTTTCTTTCTTTCACTATTTATGTTTTTACTCTCTCTCTTCTATTTCTTCCTCACTCTCTTTCCTTTCTATTCCTTTCCTTTCCTTCTTTATCACGTTATTTCTTCTTTTTCCGTTTTTCTTTTTTCATTCTCTCTTGTTTTCTCTATTCTTATTCTATCTCTATTTTTTCTTTCTCTTGTTCTTTTCTCTTCTCTTTCTTTCCATCTTCTCTCCTCTCTCCATTTCCTTCTCTTTTCTATTTACCTTTCTCCCTGTGTCTTTTTTTCCTTCTTTTTTTTTTTTTCCTTTCTCCCTTTTCCTTTTTGTACCTCTTAGCTTCCTATCTGCTTCACGTACTTCAAACTAGTACGGAGGCGAATGCCACAGTTATCCCTCCACCCACGTCACGTCACACATTTATGCATGTTAATGTAGTCCTTGATAGTAGCAAGAATAAAAGTAATAGTTTGCTTTGGGTCAAGCTAATAATAGTAAATCCAGAAAAGAAAACTCATGAGTTGTTGAGTGTGTTTTTAGGTTGTGTTCGTACATAGATATTCGCTAAATGAGAACACCAGAAATCAGTGAAGTTAAGTAAGTTTATTGGATCGACCGACATTGTTAAAAATTACTACTATTCTCTCGTACTGACCCATTTTTCTTCTTTCATTTGCGTAAAAAAATAAAATAATTCAAATTATTGTTAGAAAGGTTAAGAAAAAAAATTATATAGCAATACCCTTTGGTCTTTATGGGTAGTGAGAGTGCTAGTTTAATCCTGCAGTAAGTAAAATAGTTCAAGTTAACTTTTGCGTACTCTAAGCAGAAAAGTCACTAAACACAGCATGTTATATGACTTATGACTAGGTTAGTCTCGTAGGCCACTTCGTCCGTACAATTAATTTGATCCTCATGAGATATACCACTTCACTTATTTTATATCGCACAAAGAAATAACAGCATTCTGTGAATCGTTCAGTTTTACTGAAAAAACAACAACAATCTCAGTGGTAGGATACAAATTATTTCAGATCGTTATCACTTATATTGCTGTATTATTATAGCATTGTTGCCTGGCTATACTGGTTCATTTTGAGAAAAATAAGGAATTACCATTTACTGGATAAAATGACTATAAAAACATTTCCGGCAATTTCTCATAGGCGCAGCCATTTTGGTTTTTATCTGATATTGCAGTACACTACAGACTAAGCCGAACATTACAAGCCAGAAGAAACTGACCACAAGCCATTTCGACACTTAACACTCATAGACCGATTCAACTTGAAGTTGACACCAGAGTTCGATGGTCTTTCTACTCACCTATCTGTTGCTGGGTGGGTGGAGAAGTCAGAGCACATTTGCCGAAATAGCTTGTCGTCAGTTTCTTCTGGAAAACTCGGAGTTTTCATTACAGTATCTTTATACTGTAATGAAAACTCGGAGTTTAGTTCGGCTTAATGTGCCTTTATTGAACATAACTGAAGATATTCACTAACCTTCCCACGAGGTCAGATGTGGCACAAAGCCGAATTTAATGTGGAGTGAATCGGGCCCTTAGGCTCGGGCAAAAATCCCAATAGACCCGTATACAATCCCCAGACGAGACTCTGCCCTTCGACATAGCCTCGTCTGGGTTCCTCTCTGCCCAGAGGCAGAGAGTTTGACAAGCACACAAAGACCACATTGAACATAACTGAAGGATATTTGCCAACCGCCCCACGCGGTCAGATGTGGCACAAGACCAAATTTAATGTGGGGTACCCGAGCCCGTAGGCTCGGGCAAAAATTCCCCGTAGACCCCGTAAAAAACGGCGTTGGGTAGCTGCCTACCACCCCAGACGAGACTCTGTCCTTCGGCATAGCCTCCTCTGGGTTCCTCTCTGCCCGGAGGTAGAGAGTTTGGCAAGCACACAAAGACCACATTGAACATAACTGAAGAGTCTTGGCTAAGACGGCGTGACTTACTTATACAAATCATTAGACAAGGGAGGTAATCAGGTTGTCGTACCACATTCGCCCCGGCTTTATTTTCTCCTAGTCTGACACAAAATCATCCAGGTGACTGCGTCTCGTGACATTTCTCTGGAATCGTCTCGGTGGCAGCTGATCTGGGCTTTCAAGTGTTAGGGGAACAATCGGCCAGAAGTATTTTGTTTCATATTGTTTTTGTCTCCTTCCTGGAGTGGGACACTGATTCTGAAAGCTGATTATCAGAGCCTGTGGTAGTATGTTCTCGTTTTGGGGGAGCTATTCTGGTGTCAATATCTGAATGCTCACTATCGGCCCTTGTTCCTGGGGAGAATCCAATGGCATTATGTCGTCGTTACTATCAAGAGGGAGAGATATTTTTCAAGAGAGAACTGTTCCTACCTCTGGTTTGATAACTCGCCAACAGGGGCGAAATCTCTAAGGGAAACGTTCGATTGTCTCCCGTCGGGGTGCTGGATGCGAGCATAGAGTGGGTTCGCCTCGAGCAGTTCCACCTTACTCACAGGAAAATCATACTTGTTTTGTCGAACATGGTTTGTAAGTAAAACCGTACCTGGCTGTGAGAGCCACGAAGGGAGGGAGATCCCGGCCAAAGTTCGCCTTGGAAATTTTAAAAATCTTTCGCGAGATGTTGCATTAGTTCTTGTACACAATAGTGTGCAAGAACTAATGGTAAGGCTTCAAGAACAGCAGAAAGCTGTAACACGAGGGGAAGTGGAAAAATCAGGCGTGGCTGACCACATATGGAGAGAAAAGGGAGATCACCGCCCTCTGTGGGATCAAGTTGAAGTCATAGACTAAGAACATCATTGGAAAATTCGTAGACTTAAGGAATCAGCACATATGCTAGACCACACAAATCTCCTGAGCCGACCAAGCATAGAAATGAATACAATATGTAAACCAGTAATATGGAATGCCAGAGAAAAGCGATAATAACAACGAAAATTGCAATATGAGCTCTGGTAAAAACATGATAATAACAGCAAAAATTACAATATGAGCACTGGTAAAAAATACTTGCTGAAGATATTAGGTTTATAATATCCAGAAATTCACACGCAGATGGATACATGGCACAGTGGATAAAGGCGTTAGTTAGAAATCCAGTGACAAGAGTGTGAGTTCAATACCTGGTTAAGGCAGTGGAGAATTTGGAGAGGGGAATTAACAGGAGATAGCTGATAACTGACATCCGTTAGATGTGACACGTGGAACTAGTTCAGTTCGTCATTCCAACCACCTGAAGAAGGCCAGAGAGTACAACGGCCGTAACAAAAATGAGAACAATAGTCCGAATAATGTAAATAGTGTACATAATACCTCATCTCAGAAATATAAATAGTGTTCTTATAATGTACACCGCCTCGGTTATTACGTCTTCCCAGTGTCTTATTGGAAGGTTTTGGTTTTCAAGTACTAACTGTACGGTGTTTCATATTATACCATTTTATTTCTCGCACTGTCTATTTCCTTGAGGATTGTATGGGTAGTCAGGCGTACGGCCACTCCCTGTACCATTAGGAATCTTCTTAGTTGATCGGACATAAAAGAGGTCCCGCGATTCTTATGAATATAAGCTGGCGCCCCGAATATTGAGAACAGTGATCAAAGACAGCGTATGTCAATTTTTGCACTTACATCAGAACAGGGAAAGGCAAAAGGGAATCGCGAATACTCGTCAACGCCAGTTAGTAGATATTTGTTTCAGGATTTAGATAGAAGAGGGCCCTTAAAGTCAATGCCCGGCCTCTCAAATGGCTGTTCGGGTTTGTAGAACCTTATTTTTTTTTTTTTTTTTTTCATATTTTGCGCAAATCTGACATCTTTGTTATTCCTTTCACGTCCTCAACTGAAAAAGGCAAATTCCGGCTTCGAACTACATCCATCATCCTTGTGATGCCTGCATGACAGAGATCGTTATGAACTTTTTGGCGATCTTTAGCGCTTTTTTGTTGACCCACACACTCTTAACATCGCATCCGCCTTTGCATTTTCCTTCCCCAACCAATAGAAAACATCAAACGACAAACAGGAAAGTTCTGTTATCTTTTCATTTTTTTAATTTTGCTTGACGTCTTGGGAATAACAGATCGTGACAGCTATTAGGGAGATGTGATTAAATATACTTTAATGTTTAAAAAATTATTCAGTATTATTATTGTTTCTGTAATAAGCATTATAACATAGCACAAATAGCTATAGTGTGGAACAAGGTATTTTCGACAATATACGCATTTTTTACGTATTTATGATTATTTTTATCGAAAACAACATTCTTGTACATGTAGTTATGGATAATATTATACATTAATTATTAGCTTTATTAATTAATAACTATTTATACTCAGTTGTTAATATTAATTGCCATCTGCTGATGTGTTAAAATTTTGGAATAATGCAATAATAAAAATTTAAATTTCATCTCTCTGATAGATGTCGTGATCTGTAAACATACCTTTGATCAGTGATTAATTTGAAGCAGTGACCAATTAAGAAATGTCGCCATTTTTAGCGCCTCGACGATGGCATAAGCCTCCTTTTTGACAGCTGAATGTCTACGTTCAGATTTTGACATGGTTCTGCAGAAGAACACTACAGGGCGCCCGGATTGCCTTAATGCGGCAGCTATGGCGTGGTCGGAAGCGTCGGTCTAGGAGAATGTCAGAATTCAATGAAGTGATGGCTGAGTTGGCAATATATCTTTCTAACCCCTTAAAGGCTTTAACGGCAGAAAGTAAAGGAAATTTGGTAATTTTCGTAAGTGGGTATCTCTAAGAAAAAGAGGGTATTGAAAATAATGAGCGAATGTACCCATGGTTCGTCGCAATGCGGCTATGGTGTTGGAAATAGATTGTTTTAGTATTTGTTTTTGCCGTTCAGCGTCCGGTTTCATTCCTTTACCTACAATATATCTAAGTAGTCCGATGGTTATCGACCCATAAGTTGTCATATAGTCTATGACCATAAGTTGTCATGGTGGAGTGTAAGATTATATTTCTTGGCAGCCGCCAAAAATCGTTTTAGGTTGCGATTGTGGTCGGTTCAGTCATGGCCACACACTATCACATTATGTAGGCAAAGGTGCCTTGTAATTTATACTTCAAGAATTATTTTATCGAGGACCCTCTGGAAACTGGAAACCCGTTAGTGACCCCAAACGGAATCCGTCGGAAGTGATAAAGTCGTCTGCAGGTTTCAAAAGGCTTTTCTTTAGGGTCTATAACTACCTGGTGGTAAGCACTCCTTAAGTCTAACGTGCTAAATTTTCTTTATTTGGCGATCACGTTTATCATCATCAGTACGGGTTATAGGGTATGTGTTATGGTCCGGTTCCTTGTATGGCCCAAGGTAGAACCAATAAAGAAGAACTCGAATACGGATATGGAATAACACAGATATATTACAAACAGGAATATATACAGAGAAGTAGAAAGTGTTAGTACGAACAATCAGGTTTAGTAATAAATGTCTGAACGCAACTCTGTTTCGGACTGCCTCTGACTCGACTGACTGACTCGCTCGCTCTGACTGACTGACAGACTCCTGACGGACTTCACTCCAGACTTCAGACTGAACTCCCTGCTTCCTCTTGAGGCGCAGTATTTATTACGTTTGGAATAGTCCATTATGTTATTATGGGTAAGGTCCCATAACAGTATGCATCCAGGAGGATGTATCTGTTTATAGTGTGGGAGTAGTCTATGATCATCCTTTTTAAATTATTATCAGAGGACGCTATTAATATTTGTGTCCTCCATGGTGATCTGCTTCCTTCAATTATTCCTTCTCTTAATATTCTTGTTATTTCTGCTTGAATAACCGTTTTGTCTTCAAGAGAAGATCGTCGAGATTTGGTGACCACTGGTTTACAGTTTTTGGTTAAGTTTTCGAAAAGAGAATTGTATTGTACATTTGTAGCGGCCAAGCTACAGATGTTCAACGCCAGTTTAGGGCCCCAAAAGGGAGATTAATACTAGAATGCTGTTTGAGGAAATCACGATCCAGTATGACATTGCAACACAGAATTGGCATCACTAAAAATTTGGTGTTAATGTAGTTAATTTAATTCAACTCTAGGCCGACCAAAATATATCATCTAACCTGCGAAGATAGTGAAGCGTTCGTCATAACCACCTGACTATTACAATGTCCGATTTTAAATCTGTTTCTTTTTGCAATATCAGCGCTAATAAAACTCTGAACTTCCTGTTTCGAAAAGAACATTCATTTCTACCCCGTTTATTTTTATCTCTAATATAGCCTTTGAAAGATATTTAGGGTTTGCAGTTGATACGATACTGGTCGCAATAGGAGCATTCGAACAAGATGAAAAAAAAAAGCCTGATCGACAAGCCTTAGAGAAATGTCTCTTCTTCCTGCACTTGTAGCATTTAGTTTCCCTAGCTGGGCAACACAACCTGGGTGTAATTTGAGACAACCAAGTAACATTTTTCATCTGGCTGAAACACTAGCAATGTCTGCCGGAGAGAGATTTTGAAATGTCGGGGATGGGGGCAGAAATTCTATTGTAGAGGACTGTCTTTTTCCCCTGTTTGGATCGTTTGAACTAGTGGAATAGTAAGAGTTTGAGTACTTTTCACAGCCTCTGCAATACTTATTTGTAGTTATGAACAAGATTTCTTTTCTGTTATCTCCAAGGTAACAGCCTGCTCACGAGCAGGAGCTAAATCTAGTTGTTTATTTTCCAGCAAATCGTTGACGAATATAGTTCGATTCTAATCCGTTTTATAAAGAAGTCTCTGATAAATTCACCCTTTGCCTGATCTGCTGTCATCGCTTAAAGTCGAGACTGTGACTTTCAGATTTTTCAGCGCTGAAGATCCTGCTCTAACCCCTCCTCAGGGGATTGGCGGGTAGTTGCTAATACATGGCGGGCAAAGATTATGTTTCGTCTCTTTACAGAAATTCCATCCAAAACATCCATGGCACTCTGGTAAATTTTGCAGTGAGAAATATTGGTATATACGTATACGGAAACGTGGAACATTAACAGGTTAAGTCTATCCGTATCACTAATAGGAATGGATAAACTGTTTTCCAGAGCAAGCAAGAATCCTTCGAATAATCGTTTCCAATATTGTCAGTCGAAGACAAATCTGTATAGTCGAGACTTTCTGGTTGAGTTATTTGTTCATAATTACTTTCAATAAATTGTAATGAAATCTCGGCGTGTAGCTGCCTTCTTTGAACATAACTGACGAGTCTTGAGGATTTGTCTAAGACAGGAGAGATAATCGGGTTGTCTTACCGCAGTTCCCTCATTCGTTTCCTTCAACCAACAGAGTAACGTGAGTCAAACAATCCAACAACACGTGTTCACCACCGCAGTCTCACTCACTTTTTATGGATTGAGTTGTTGCAGTCCCGGTAGGGTGCAGTGCTGGTTTATTACTAAGTGGCCTTGTGCCAGACACCACACTAAACTACCGAGTCTACAAGCAAAGTAAAAAAAATAAAAATATGCGTGAATGAACAACGAAGAAATGTGGTTAATCCACACGTGCATAAAATAAAATATATTAAGATAGCCGACACAGAATGACAGAAAAAAGACTGGATTCCAACAAGAGTAATTTTTATTAAATGCAGGAAAAACAAGTAAATTATCCCGTAGTCGGGATCAATGAAAAAGTTCCGCGCCAAAAGTAGAAAACAAGATGGCTAAAGGCGGGAAGGTTCTTGAAGAAGAAAGGTTCCGGATAAGTCAATGTACATGATAATATTCATACAAGGAAAAATACTCACTGCGAGTTTTTAGGTAATGTGAGTGAAATGTTATGTACATATTTTTTTTCCTTTTTTTGTACTGGTTCAAAACAGATTTATGACGAGACCCAAAGTGGACGACGAATTAATATTTTGGATTTTTTGCATCGTCTCGGAGAAGGACTTTGAATGACGAGCCAAAAGGGACGAAGAATTAATATTTTGGATGTTTTGCATCGTCTTATAAAAGGATTTTGAATGACGAGCCAAAAGGGACGCAGAATTAATATTTGGTGGTGGCATCGTAAGATATCCCTCGTCAGTCAACCTTGCATATTGACATGGCCTAAAAATGAGTCTGCTTAGGTCCGAATCTGGATCACAACTAACTTTTGAAACAACAGTTTGTCGTTGACGTCACAAATTTTTCGCGGGAAGATTTCAAAAATCTAATTTGCATAGCAGGTCGTTTGACTGTCGACCAAAAACAGTTACTACTGTATTAGACCGAACGAGGGAGAAAGGGGTGTCAAACGCGCGCGCGCGCCCGCGAGTGTGAAAGAAAGGGAGGAAACTCGCGCGCGCGTAAAATGTCGTAGATGGAATAATACATTATTCCACAGAGTGACAGTTCAAATTTGCATATAAAAAGATTCTCGCGAAAGTCTATCCGACTCCGAGATCTATCGTTTTTTTTTTTGTTTTTTTTTTTTAAATATACGACTCGTAAAGCCGCCATTTTCTTTTGGGAATATTTTACATGTGAGACACGTTCAAACCTGTTTTCGTCCCGGAGTTAAGCCCTTTTAATAATGAAATGATACAAAAACAGACCATATTGTACTCTACTATATGCTTGTATGAAAATAGCACTAAACGCTGGATAGTTTGTAACACAAACGCTATCAACCAGCATTTCACGATGTCTTGAGTTTACAGCCATATTGAAACACCGGTTCACGTACGATCACTGAAGTTAAGCAACGCCGAGCCTGGTCAGTATTGTTAGATGAGTGACCGCTCGGAAATACCAGGTGCTATAAATTTGGATGTGCAGGTGGTGTAATGGATAAATCAAAGAACCGAGTTCAAAGTCCAGTCGGTTTCGCTGTATTCACTTACGCGCAAATGTCTTTGGGAAAGGAATTAATCCACCTCTTTCCGTAGGACTTATATCAGTAAAATCCTTATCTCCCAAAAATTAATGCACGCAATGCCGACATTTTGGGTGTCCCTGCCATTAGTGCTTGGTCACACAGTGCTGCCTCAAATGCCTCAGCACGGTTGATGTTTTGCTCGAGGGTCTTTAATGAGCTGACTTTTGCTAGCAGATCTACTTGGAGAGCATCATTTGCTGTGCCTCTGACCAGCTGGTCTTTGATATCGATGCCAGATAGGTTGTGACTGCAAATGGGACATTAGGGTTGCTTTCCTGAATTGAACATGTTCGGGGGTAAGGATACCGATCCCCTCCCCCTTCGACCCCATCTCAGTTTTGATGGTGCCATCTTGAGAGAGGCTGCCTATATCCCAAGGGAAAGTCAGTTTTAGTGCTCTATAGAGAGAGGGGTGAACAAAAACCGGGACCCTCCCAGCACAAAATTGCTTCATTCTTTTTAACTTCTCATTCTGGACGATTGCGATGGGCAGGGACATTTTGAAAGCGACTATAGCTCGTCCAGCATAGCCCAAGCCTGCTTCGTCCCCGTCCCAGTTCTCATGACAGAGCCCTTTCCGAATTAGTAAAGTTTTGGGGTGCTTTTATGTTCTTATTGGCGAACTGTTTGATGGATAACAGATATTTTAAGTTTTTAATTCTGTTTCCATAGTCGCTTGCTTTTTCTGTCTAACACTTTCGCCCCAGCCCCTCAAACCTCGGACGTCTTACTCTCTGGGTTGAGGTGTCTACTCGGTCTTAACTGAACTTAAGGGAATGGCCGTAGGTCCCCTGAGCATCCGTAGATAATTCGACCGGTCCACTGGTTTAATCCTGCTTCATGCCCACGTTGTGTTTGGTTTGATCCAGAAAGCAGAAGTGATGTTCATCCATTTACGGTCGACTGAGGACGTAGACACGGCTGGAGAGTCTGTGCTAAGAAATTTAGAATACACCAAGAAAAATACATATATCTGCAGAAAGCCAGACAAACAACTATTCAATGGTTGAACTATTATTGTCTTTTGTATAGCAGAAAAGAATAGTATGGAAAAGAAACGAGTTACAGAAAAGAAAAGTAATTGACGTAAAAAAAAATCATACACTGGATTCTAGACAGAGGGAGAATGGGTTATGATTAACTTGTTGTTAAATCATCTCAGAACGATATGCGACTCTTGCGATGGAGAGATAAAGATTTCTGTGCGTGGCTTAAAGTTTGTAGTTGCGTTCCTCCTCGGCAGTAGTAAACGTAGTAGTAATCTTCGTGTTAGCAGAAGCAGCGGTACTTATATCAACGGTACATGTTGGCGGGGGTTTTGTTCCAATTTCTGACATCACTTTCGTATTTCATCGGGCCTTCAATTCAACTCTGCTCACTTTCAATCTCCGATATCTCTCCACCCATCTCGACTGCACTCAAAGACAGACGAGCAGAAAACTCCCCCTCTTTGATTATTGTAGCTTGTTCGACGTTTCCGTTCCCAGTGGTAGTAATAATAGTAGCAGTAGTAGTCTTAGATGTTGGAGGAGTAATTCGCTTCTTCGTACTTATATCAACAGCACATGTTAGCGGGCGTTTTGTTCCAATCTCTGACGTCACTTTCTTACTTCGAGCCTCCAATTCAACTCTGCTTACTTTCAATCTCCGACATCTCTCCACCCAGCTCGACTGCACTTTCTGTCACACTGCTTGTATGGGGGGTATTCTGCATACATCTTCACCTGAATTGAAAATGTGCTTTGGTTTTTTCCTGTTACCGGATAACTCGTATGTGGGGCTTCTGAGCCTTTTGTTTTGGGGAGGGGGCATTTCTGGGGGTTTAATGAGAGAAGGAATGGGGGTGTGGCGGGGTGTATATGTTTGTCTAAAAGGGCTGGGGTCTCTATTGAGAGATGGAAGGAGAGGCAGGTGAGGACTTTTCTCTACAAAGAGGGGTTGAGGGATAGGAAGAAAGAGGTGGGTCAGAGTTTGTGGAAGGAGTGGCTTTCTTTGTGGAGATGGACTTGAACTGACTGGAAGTAGAGGGTTGAGGAGACTGTGCCGAGTGTTGGACAGTGGATGCGGAGGGAGGGGTTTCCTTAATGGGGGAGGATTTTTTTTAGCTGAAGGTCTAATTTCTTTTATAAATCCTTAATTTTCTCTGTCTTCTCGTACGCAGGGACATATTTTGGGGAGTTCTTTCAGCGTCGGTAATGTTGACAGAGGGAGTGGGACTGTAAGTGCCTTTTTTTCCAGGGGCTTCAGGGGACTGAGGACCCGCTGTCTGACGCTTCCCTCTGGCCCTGCCGACAACCTGCCATTCCCCCTCTCCCTCTTCCACAACTGCACTAGCAGCGGGAGAAGGCTCTTCGGGGAATAGGGCTTTGGTGATGGCCCAACCGGGTGTTTGACTACTCCGGCCCCGGAAGCCGGCATGCCCATTACAGGCAAACCAAAAATCAAAGACTCGGTCAGAGGGAGAGTTTGGTTGACTGGGGCCTGACCTCCAGAGGCCTTCTTCTCTGGACAGGAAGAGGAGAGGTGACCAGTCTCTCCGCATTTCCAACAAACTGGTTTACGGCCGGTCACTATGACCGGCAGTTTCAGACCACCAACATCAAGACAGTTGGGGATGGATATGAAGGCTTTCCGACCTAACATGATGTCGAAACTCCATCCCCCAGTCAGGCTATCACAGGAAGCACCCAGAATTTCTCCGTACTGGGACAAGAAAGCCGCCACGCGCTCCCCGATAACCTGGTCCTTCGCCTGCCTTCGTATTAAATCCTTTGTGATTAGTTCTCTACTTGTTGCTTTTACGCAGTCTTCTGCAGTGGGTAACAGTACGTCCCACATGAAAAAGCCTTTACCCTTTACGATCTGAAGTGGCTTAAACCCGAGGGACTCTAGTGTTTTAACCATTGTGTCTTTCGTCGAACGACAAATGTTGCGCAAACGCTTATCGACGACAAAGACCGACACTATTCTTTTATCGATCTTCTTTAGTTCGATTGGATCCCCCAAGAGCCCACGTTCTACCACACGATGTGCGTAACTCTTAGCACGTTCCAAGAACTCTGTAATATCGATAAAGCATTTAGGTGGGGACTTCCAACAACAGGTCGAATCCCCGGCCTCAGCGGTATCACTTGTCTTTTGGCCATTCTTGGCTTCCATGGTCTTGTCAGATTTTGGGCCATGGTTAGCCACCGTAGATTTTTTATTTGTATCTTGGCCATTATCGGCCTCCATACTTTTTTGTGATTTTCTTTTTTCATGGCCATTCTCGGCCTCCATACTTTGGGATTTTGTTTTTTCTTTGCCATTATTGGCCTTCAAACTTTCTACTTGGCTACCAATGGTCTCCTCACAAGAGGAAGAAGATTCCAAGACCGGGAACTCCTCTAAATTGTCTTTGTCTGGCGGGTCTTTTTTGGGGGTTAAAAAGATGTTTCCTTACAGATCTCCTGAAGGATGCCATTTTAGATTTCTTTTTTAAGACTAAGAAAGAAGGTACATTTCTTTCCTTCTTTTCCATTTTTAAAGGGAAGGGGAGGGGTGGAAAAAGGGGAAAATAGTTAATAAGTTCCGCCTCATATGCGAAACAAAAAATTCAACACAAAATAAACAGACAAAGAAAATTAACGGGTGACAGACAAAAAACACACAAGGCTCGCCCGAAAGCGAGACAGCAGGTCAAAAAAGGTACAAAAACAAGGAAACGACAAATAAATATACACAAAGGTTTTACAAAAAATTAAGAGACGGATGAGAAAAAATGAAACAAAAGGAAAACCACAAAAATGGCGGACGTATAAAAATTGACGAGAGACGAAAGAAAAGAAATTCACCTAAAGGCGTACAAACAAAAAAAGACGATAAACAAAAGAGGATAAACAAAATTAAAAAAAGAAAAAAAAAACACAAAAAAGAAAATAAACAATAAAACGAAAAAGCTATACAAAGAAAAAGGTAAACGTTTATACAAAGAAAATACGAAACAACGAAAATACACAGAGCTAATCACAAAACAAAAATGGCTGACGCTAAGAACGAGTCAAAGAAATAAACAAAAGAAAGTAAATGGACAGGTTAGACAATATAAATACAAAGATTAGAACAAATATGGCACAAAAAGGTTTTAAAATAAAACACGGAAAACTTAAAGGCTATTTAAAAGGAAATAAGCAAATAAAGGAATAACACGTAAGGAAGAAATTAAAGTCTGTCGTAGAAAAATAGAAACTCTAGCAGGGGTTACGAGATAGAAAAAACGAAACGGAATTTAAAAGGAAAAGAAAATCAAAAAGAAAGCAAATAAAAGAAAAAGAGCAAAAATAAAAAATGTGAAGGGTAAAAAGAAACGGAAAAAATTAAAAAAATCTTTGTTAAAACAGTCCTAAAAAAACGCAAGAAAGACGATAGAAAATAAATCAAAAACTTAACAAAAATGTAGCTCAAAGAAAAACCGTAGTGAGAGAAAAAAGTCGGGAAGCAACCACCAGTCAATACATGGCCTGAAAAAGACGCCAAGTTAAACTGATCTGAGTCATTTAATGGAGAGATATATGGGTGAATAGAGACAACTTGTCGGAGTTAACCCCTCCTTTAGTTCGTTTACCCTTTCACCAGGGGTCTCTCTTCCCTGGCTATAAATAGTTGTTGACCCTTCGCCTCTTTCTCTTTTTCCCTCAGGTCTTTGGGCCGCCACCTTGAGGTAAATCTCTCTTTTTCCCTCAGGCCTTTGGGCCGACACCTGGAGGTAAATCTCTCTTTTTCCTCAGGCTTTCAGCCTTATTACTTCGAAGATGTGAACGCTCACAGGGATAGCGTTTCCCAAATGCTGGAAACACGCTAAGCACAATACACACACACACACACGCACATATATAATATTCAC